GCAGACAACTAACTGCTATTCAATCTATAACAGTGAAAAAAGTTTTTTGTTTTTAAATGCAAGCTATTGTGACACCAGTGAGTGAGTGGTGGCACTAGGCAAGTGGGCACAGTATACGTTGCGAGCCTGACACAGACACTTGCAGACAACTAACTGCTATTCAATCTATAACAGTGAAAAAAGTTTTTTGTTTTTAAATGCAAGCTATTGTGACACCAGTGAGTGAGTGGTGGCACTGGGCAAGTGGGCACAGTATCCACTGTGAGCCTGACACAGAAGCTGGCAGACAACTGCAATTACATTACAAAGAAAAAAAAAGCAGACTGATGTTCTAGCCCTAAAAAGGGCCTTTTGGGGTGTTGTCCTTACAGCAGAGATCAGATGAGTCCTTCAGGACTATAGTGGACACTGTATACACTACCCTAGCTATCCATTTCCCTATCAAATCAACAGCAGCTACACTTTCCCTCCTCTCACTAAGCATGCAGCTTGAGAATGAATCTAAAATGGATGCTGTCCAGTAGGTGGGAGGGTCTGCTATGGAGGGTGTGCTGCTAATCGGCTGGAATGTGTCTGCTGACTGTGAGGTACAGGGTCAAAGTTTACTCAATGATGACGAATAGGAACATGCTATGTTCGCCAGGAACTATTCATCAGCGAACCGTTCGGTGCATCACTAATTACAATAACTGTCCCCACTCCCTTGATATACTCGCTTGCTTGAATCTGGGTGTCTTGTATGTCCTCAAGGCTCCGAAACATTTACTACTTATTGTATCAGGGACCAATTTGACAAAAGTAACTCCTCTCTTGGAGAATCACACAAGGTGGTTTGCTCTACAATGTAAGCTTGTCTCTGCCCTTAGAGGCGGATCGACATGTAGGCGGAGTCTACATCACATGTGTTGCACCACAGATTGACATGCCCCCAATCTCTATGGGCACTGAAGATTAGCTTCCACAATATATTCTGCTTCTTAAGAAGATCTGCACCAGTATTTCCTTTTTCACTAACAAAGGTTCATCACTCTGTGCACCAAAACACGCTTTTCCCAAAACATATACTGTGCACTATTGTATGCACACTATGCACCTTTTTTCTCTATTATTATTTGTTCAGTGATGATTTATACGATCAAATCTATCTTTGCCTTTCCTGTCTAGGTAGTTTTACAAGGAGAGAGGGAATTTCCTTTTTAATCATTTTTTCTCACTGTGATGTACTATCCTCCATTCACAATGCCTTTTGGTAGTTCTCTACCACCAGTGATATGAAACTAAATACTCATATGCACTGTAAAGGTACTACCTATTGGATAGACTATGTGTTGAATAAATAATCGTTGTGCTCTTTCATCACTTTGCTTTAGTTGAGCAAAAGCTTAGCACCAGGGCCGTCTTTAATAACGAATGGACCCTGGGCAAGTGTTTGCTTGGGCCCCCTGTGCCCTGCCGCTCTCGCCCCTCACTCCCTGGTATGCAATCACGGCATCCATCCCAACGCAGTGGCGGTACTAAAGTAGAATGAATTTTATTGGGACCCCAATTGCAAGGTTGGACTAAAGGTAGAACCCCATCTGTCGTGCAACTCCAACAATGCTTTGACAGCTGGGACTCTACCAATTTCCCATGCTTGCAGGTTTGTATTTAGCACTGAGCCATGTTAGTATGTTTGAATGTAAGCATGTGTTTGTATGGAGTATGTTTGTGTGAATGTGTTTGTATGTGGTACTGGAGTTTGAATGCAAGTGTGCATGTATGTGTAGTGTTTGTTTTTGAATGTAGGAGTGTGCTTGTATGTAGTGTTGACGTTTCAATGCAGGAGTGTGTTATATATGTAGTGTTGAAGTTTGAATGGAGGGGTGTATTTGTATTTAAAGTTGCGGCTCAGATGCACAGGTACACACTCTGACACACAAGCAGATACACAGATACATACACTGACTACATACAGATAAACACGGCACATACACTGACGAACACACACTGACACAGGTACATATATTGACACACACACACAGACACATACACTGGTAGACGTACTGACAGACATACTGACACAGGCATATACAGACATGCAACACAGACACATATACGAAACATACTGACACACACACACACAGACACATACACTTCAATCAACTTATGCGAAACACACATACACACTACAGCAGAAATACCCCGAGCAGATATACGAAACACCCACATATACACTGAAATACGCACACTGACACACAGGCACATACACTGGCTTACACACAGACTGATATACTGACACACGAACTTAGATATACTGACACATGCATACACATGCACTAACAGACATACTGACACACTGACAGACATACTGACACATACACATACTGACACACACAGATATACACACACATATACTGACACACAGACAGACAGACATGCTGACACACACACACATACACTAACACACACATACACTAACACACATAAACACACACATACACTAACACACACATACATACACTAAAACACATACACTAACACACACAAACACACAAACACATACACTAACACACATACACTAACACACAAACACATACACTAACACACACATACACATTTTTTTTTAAATGTAATCCCCCCAGCCTCCTTACCTTTTGGAATGCTGGGGGGATTCCCTGGGGTCCAGTGGTGTTGCTGGGCTCCTGGGCGGGTGGCCGGTCGGGCAGGCAGGCGGGCGCGCGAGGGAGCACTCAGTGCTTCCTCTACAGCTCCCTCGCGCGCCGCGTAGGGATGCCGGCGCCGGAAGATGACGTCATCTTCCGGCTCCGAGCACATCGAATGCTGATCTTAGCGAGAGTGAAACGTCTTTCCCTTTTCAACTTTCCACCACATCACTTAATCCAGCGGGGCCCACGGGGCAGGTGCCTCGGGCCCCCCAAGAGAAACTGGGCCCGGGGCAGCTGCCCGTTTGCCCCGCATTAAAGACGGCCCTGCTTAGCACTATTAGTAAAACAACAGAAAAAAGGCTGCGCCACAGAGAAGATAAAATAAGTTCAATAAGTAAAAAGTCCAACTTAAGTGTCCTTGCGAGTGGTCTTTATAACAGAAAATGCAGTGGTGAAGTCTTCATAAACTGTATTGGTTCCACTTATATAGAAGATAAAAAAGAGGGACGACCAATAGTGTAGTATTGTATAATTTCAATGGTGACGTGCTAAGAAATAATAGTGGAGAACTCACATTTGGTAGCACAGCAGGTCAGCTACACATCCCAATTGAACAAAAGAAATGCAGTATGGGGAGTTAAGACATGCTACTCTTAAGGACATACTGGAACGCCGAGCACGGTCAGCAAGCAATTTAAAGAAACATGAAATTATTGCTTTGCTAGTGGAAATGGATGCGACACAGGGAATGGCGAGAGCTAATGTGCCCAGCATTTTGGATTTAACCCCCGAGGAAACACAATTTAACCGGGCAGTACAAATAAGGCTTGCACATTTTGGCCCCAACCCCTCAGCAGACATTGTGGAACGTGTGCAGGCAGCAGTGATGGCACACCAAGCGCTCCAGGAAAGAGGAGCTGCAGCAGTAGAGGTACCAAATAATAATTTTGTAAGTAAAAAGGTACCCTTTGCTGCGTTTAAATTTTTTATTGAAACCGAGGGAGAAATTGATGGGTTCCTGGCCGATTTTGAGAGGCAGTGTGCCCTACACCAGGTACCTGCAGATGA